GGCAGCAAGAGCACAGCTAGCCCAGTGCTGGTCCTGGGGAGCAAGATGCATCTGGTACGCCCACATAACAGCGGCTTTTTCATGGACCAGCAGGAAATGCCGCCAACTGGTGGCTGAAAACCACTGACCTAGAGAACTTCATGGATGAGTAGAAATTTGAACCCACAGTCCAAGTCTGATACTATCTACTATACCACACTAAATATGTACTATTAAGTTATAAATCAGTATGAAAGCTGTGTATGGGAACAGTGAGAATAGATGAGAAATTTTAATCCTGTTTAGGATACAATTTTTCATATTGGTGGGATTACCAAATATGTCTTGCAATATTTTTTTACTAGAATGAATGCATACACATGCTTTTATCAACTACTGCATACTGATTGCCTGAAAGTGAGAGTAATGGGACAGAGAATCCAATGTTTGCCATTTTACAAGGATTTGTGTTAAGCTGGAAGTCGTATTTATTCATGCTACAAGCTTAAAGAACCTGCGCATAATTTTAAAATGTTCTAGTCTAAAATACACTCTATTCTGTACAATAAATCTAAATGGATTGGCACTCCCGTTGAAGGAGCAGGTATATTGCCTGGGGGTGCTCCCTGAGGTTGTTTCAGTGCTCAAAGCCCTTTCCACCAGCTTCTCCTTGGGTGGCTCAGCCCATCTGGACAGAGATAGCCCTGCTATCAGTGATCTATGCTCTGGTAATCTCTAACCTAGATTACAATGCATATACATGGGCTGCCCTTGAAGACTGTACAGAAGCTGCAGTTTCTGCAAGATGAGGCAGCCAGACTAATAAAAGGATCAGACAATCTGATCATATGACACCATTTCTAACTCACTTGCACTGGCTGCCTATATCCTTCCAAGCCCAATTCAAGGTGCTGGTTTTAACCTGCGAAGACCTACACAGATTGGAACCATGGTATCAGATGGGATGTTTCTCCTGACATCTTTCTACTCAGACACTATGATCAAGTTCTGGGGCCTATCTCTGACTGCCACCTCTGAAGCAGGCTTGGTTGGTGGCAACAAGAAGAACCTTTTCAGTGGTGGTCTCCCAGTTATGGAACAAGCTCCCCACTGAGGTTTGCCTGGCACCAAGCTTACTATCTTTTCAGTGCCAGGTAAATAGCATCCTCTACTGCAGAACTTTCAAGTAGCTTCTGGGGCCTTCTAGCTGCTAACAGATCTGAATAATTTTTCTTTTTTCTTATTAGTGTGTGTGTGTGTGTGTGTGATATACACACACACACACATACCTGTTTAATATGTGGTTTTAAATTTTGTATCATGAGTTTTAATGATGCTTTAATTTTTAATACAATATATCTTTATTGGTTTTTTAAAATGTGCTTTGTGAACTGCTCGGACAGCTTCAGCAGTTTAATTAATTAAATAAATTAGTTTGGCATTTAAAAATCCTTCTTCCTCTCTCATTTCCTCACAAGTTCTCAAATATTTACACTGTCTAGAATTTCTGAAACAGTTTTGATCACGAATACTATTAAGGAAACACTGAGAATACCAAGAACCTACCTAGTCAAGCATTCAGTTGGTACATCAGCAAAATTAAAAGTCTCTTGGACTCCTACAAGCAAAACATGAATGTAAAAGCATCTCCAGTTTGTATGCCCAAGCAAGTGTCATATAGAGGCAGTCTGCTTTAGATACTGGAGATAATATATAGCTATCATTGTTATCAGCCACTCATGGGCTTATATTCCATCGATTTGTCTAATTTCTTCTTAAATCTCTCCAAGTTAGTGGCCATCACTACATCATCTAGTGACAAATTTTATAGTTCAAGTATGCACTGTGTGAAGAACTTCTTCAGTGTCATTGGATGAACCTCGGTTCTAGAAGGAGAAAAAGCTCCCTACTCACTTTCTCCATACCATCTATTTCATATACATCTATCATGTCCCTTTTTATTCAGCTTTTTTCAAAGCTAAAATGCCTCAATTGTTGTCAACTTTTCTCATAAGGGAGTTACTACAATATCTTGAACATTGCCATTTTCTGTATCTTTTCTATCTCTACAATATCCTTTTTGAGATGCAATGGTCAGAGCTCTATATGGTATTCTAAGTGCAATCACATAATAGATTTGTATAAGGGCATTCTAATATTGGAAGTTTTATTTCATTCCTTTCCAAATGATCTCAAAAATGAACTTTACAATTCTTAGTTGATGTTTTTATCAACCCCCAATTTTTCCCATAATTTATAATGAGCAGCTCAGACCCTGTCCACTTATATGCAAAGTTGGAATTTTTCCCCATTTTTTTTGTATCGCTTTACACTTGCTTAGATTCAACCATATTTGCCATTTAATGCCTATTCCCCCAGTCAGAAGAAACCTTTCTGAAGCTCTTTGCAATCCTTTGTTTTAGCCACGCTAAGTAATTGACTCTTGCTAAATGATGACTCAAAGGAGAAACTACCTAAATTATATTCACATTTCGTAGCTAAAACCCTAAAATATATGTGCATTCTTGATATGTTACAGGACTGAATGGCTTACTGTTGTGTATTGAAAACAAATGTGAAGTCAAGCAGAGGCTTGAAAGGACAAGTAACTACATGGTTTTACTTTACATCTAAAATTTCAATGCCAAATTAAATGTGATGGGTCAGCCATGTGTTTTTTATTCACATGTCTGCCCATTTCACATACAAAGCAACTGCAGTGTGGTGATCTCTTTCATAAAAGGAATGTGCAGATAATGAGAACTGAAGCCTTCTCCAGCTTACTTTGCTGGAGATGCTTAAAATACTCCAGTATTTTAAGTACTTTTGTCCCAAACCTGGTTCCCTTCCATAAGCAGAGCTGGGGGATGAAAAGAGTGCTTTAGAAGTATGACCATATATAACAGAAAAGGCAGGCAGTTTCATTCCCCTCATCCATATACTTCAGTTCATAAAACAAAAAACATATACTTCATAAAACAAAAAAGACTCCCCATCCCTTGCTTATTACGTGAGGGAGGCAGACAGATGAATAAATAAATATGGCTGCCCCAACATATTTATTTTGGCTCTCATGTACTTATTATTCTGATTAACGTAGTCTTTATCTGTGATAGACATCTTGCTAGTGACAGCTTCACTACTGTAGAATTCCTAAAAAAAATATGATCGGATACGATTTTCAACAGAACTTAAGGAGGAGCATCTAATTTGACAAGAATTTACCTCAATGTCAAATATAAGGGCTTATATAAATATTTGAATTGAGATTTGAGGATATGAGGTGACTTCATTAACCATCATTAACTTCCAATGACCTGGAACATCTAAGACAGTAATCCAATGTAAACTTAAAGAGCAAATTGCACTGTTTCTCTGCGATGTTTTTACTCAATACTATGTGTCTTTTAATACAAGCTAGAAATTCCATAGACCAATGCAGTGCTTTGAATCAATGGAGTAAACTGTTGTGCAAGTTTGTAATACTAAGCACCACAAACTAACCATCATTGAAATATACCTGGATCAGCTTAACACCAATCTGAAACTAACACATGTTCCTTGAAATACTGAAATTAACTCTTCTTAACATGTTGAATTTTGCTGCCTGAGAAACATAGCTTGTCTACATTCCAGTTAAGATGGCTGCCACTAAATCCTTGCTTGCACCTGCATAAGCTAGTTGGTATCAAATGTACAACCTGCCCAGTTGTCATTCTATTCAACAATAACTGTTGGTAATGAGGGCTTATTAGGTGTAATTTGCACCCTGTGCACAAAACACTATGCATGTATTTTCTTTTATTTTTAATTGCACTATGTCTTTCAGTCCTAGTTTTGAATTTCAGCCTTTTCAGAAGTTCAAGGTAAATTCTGAATCCTGTCAACTTAACACTTTCCCTACCACATTCCATTTTTTCCCACCTGAGAGCTATACAAAGTGATACAAGGTGCACAGGTTTAGTACTGTTGCTTAAGAGTTAGGGTAAGGGTAAATGCAAAATTATGGGCTGCATTAATATCAAGTGGAGACTAGTTAGGTTGACTCCATGGCAAGTCCAATTAGGTCAAATATTATCCATAATCATTTGGAAGTAAGTTCCATCTGCATTCTATCCATCTCAGCCAAATTCTGACAATAGGTAGGGATTGTGTCTTTAGTTCATATTAAATATCTTTGGCAGGATCATTCAAATTAGGAATAAAAATACTCATGATTCAAACCAAGTGTACAACCATTCTTTAATCTGCTAGAACAAGCCAGTAATTTCTAAGACCAAAAAGTAAAAGGTTAGACACAGTATTAAATGCTAAAACAACCTATATGGCTGCACATATGCTTGAAGTACCCATCTTCAAAAGCATCTACTACTGGGAACAAACTATCAGAATTAACCAAATTAAGCCTCATGCCCGCAAGAGAAGAATATTTATACCTGATCGAAGTTTGCATTATAATGGAAAAACCAATTTCACTTTTAGATTCTAGTCTAGTTCTTTCCTATCTGCTACAAGTCATCCCTATTTCCCTAACAAGGTTTGAAAATACAAGGCCTCCAGCAGTTTCCGCCTAAGGCAACGAGTTCCACACCCCCTTTTTGACAGGAGCTACAAGGCTGCACTGTTGTTGCAATCCTGTCCACAAAATTTACCCTACAGATAGCAATGGGGTTCTCCGGCCTTAAATCATTCCCATATGTAGCCCTAGCCATTACAGGCAGTTAGAGCAGACCTGGATATTAAGATCTAGGGACGCGGCTAATAAGTCAACGTTTATTCCATGTGCAGCCAGGCAGCCATGCTGGTTACACATCTGTTGAGAACATCCATTTCCTGCTCCTTTCTCCACGACACTCTTAGGGGCGCCCCAAGGTTTCAGCGACATGTGTAGGCCATTTCCCCGCCAGCCCTATCTCCTCCCTTTCTGCTCAACAGCCCCCGCACTTTCACAGCCCCGCAAGTCCTCTCGATCATCGGGGTTCCGGGCCTACCGCTGCTCAGAAAAGGGTCGCGCCACTCACCTTCCTGACGGTGGTGATAGTGATGATGGTGGTGCTGAAGTAACATCTTCACGTCGCCGTTTTCCTCCCGAGCACTCGCGCTGAGGCCGCCGCCGCCGCCGCCTGCTCCTATTCCCCCTATTACTGTAACTGACACGGGCAGGGCCCCAAGTTTCCTCTTCTCCTTGTCGCGTTTTTCCTTGGGCCTTTTGCTCTTGCTGTTACCACCACCACCGCTGCTGCTGCTGCTGCTATTGCTACTACTGCCGCCGCCTGCTCCATCGACGCCTGCGGCCAAGCACTGGTGAGAGTGGGAAGAGGGCGGCGGCAGTAGCAACTTGTGGGGCAATTGAGGCGGGAAAACGAATGACCCACCGCTGGTTGTGGCGGTACCGCCACCACAGGCTCCCGAAGAAAACGCGGTGAGGCTCCACACGGCAGGGCTCCCGTGACCTACCGGGGTTGGCGCCACTGGTATGTGAGGCGGCTGTGGCGGCTGCCTATTGCTGCTGCTGCCGCCGCCGCCGCCGCCCTCGCCGTTGACGCGCTTAGGGCCTTTGAGGCTCCGCTCTTCTCCCTTCATGCGCTTGGCGGCTGGCTGGAAGCTACGTTGAGAGGCTCTGGTGTCCGCTGACAGGTTCGAAGCGAAGGGCTCCTGCTGCGGCGGTGGCGGCGCCGCCACCGTCGCACCTCGTACGGGACTCACTGGCTCCGCCATTTTGAGATCCTGCTTCTATTTACCTCTCAGCGCGAGCCGCTTGAGAGAGCCGGGATGATGGTAGGGGGAGGAGAGAGAAGGGAGGCGGGACGCTGCCTGCAAGGCTCTTGGTCCCCCTCCCAATAGAAACGGGGCCCAGATTGGAGAGACAGTGAAAGGCGCCAATGGCTGAATGAGGACTGAGCAAAGAGCTGGGTTGCCGCCGCCCGGCGGCTCTCGTGCAACGCACTCCGCGAGTGGCGCAGTTGGGTAGCTGAGGGCGGGCGTTCGTCATGGATTTCTCTGTATTGTTTTAAGGCAGTTCAGAGAAGAAGGCAAACCTCAAAGGGTAGCTGGCTAGCTAGGAGACACGAGTCATAGAGAAATGAGGATGTCGGCGCGGGAGAAGAAGAAAGTCTCCCTGTCTTCGAGAAATGCGACAGATTTGACCCCTTCCTTCTCCTGCATGGTGATTAAGTTGCTTCGGGGTCGCTAATGGGCTACTCATTTGCCAGTGTAACGAATTCTGGAGCAAGTCTGAGCAGAGCGCAACTCTGTCCGGATTTATTCCTTGAACACTGGGATGTATTCAAAACAGGGCTGCAGTTTCGTTCCCGATTAATCGGGCTGTAGACTATTAAAAACAGATTTAGGGTGCAAGTCTAGGCATGGTTAGAGGGAAAAAATGTTACGAATCCCAGCATGCTCCATCCATGTATACTAGCTAAAGCATGCTGGGAATTGTTCTACTTTTCTATCTAAAAATGCTTAGGATCGAGCCCTTAACGAAGCCGCGAGCGGCAGCCATCTTAGAAGACGCATTCCCAACCCCCCCTTTCGCACGTGAGAATACTTCTTCTAAGATGGTGCCTATTCTGATGCATGCAGCGTCCTATAAGAATGCCTTTTTATTAGTAGTATTGTTTATTTGTAAATTCATAGCAGTTAAAGCTCATACAGTTACTGCAGCCCTATTCACGTTTGCCTTGGATTAAGCCCCATTGAACTCGATGTGGCTTTCTTGTGAGTAGATATATGGTGCTGCAATCCTGTTCACGTTTACCGGGGCGAAAGCCCTGTTAAATACAACGCGATTGACTTCTGATGAATATGCATAAAATCGTGCAGTGATATTTGTTTGGGTAACGGTGACGCTAATCCAAATTAGTTACGTACTGGAGATTACTAAAGATCGATTAGGGTCCTCCTTTTCTTGCAGTAACAACGGATGGAATTTGTGCTACTCACTTTGCTGCGTAGTTAAACTTAATTTTTTTAAAAAATAAACTTAATTCCGGATTAACATGGAACATGTGTGATTTTTGTATATTGCGTCTACCCTATCAATTACCGTAGATTTTGCGCTAGCCCAAGTATTACGGTATTGCTTAGGACAGGTTTACTATTGTGGTAAAGGCATGGCTGTCAGCAGTCCATTCAGTAAATCACAAAACCCAAGTACAATTCTGGAGTTGCAAGTGTAACGTCTGTTAAGCTTTGCACTTTGTTTTAAGGATAGGCAGTTTTGACAGAAACATCTTCTGCAAAAAGTAAAAAGAGAAAAATCAGCTTTGCAGTCTTTTTGATAGTCACATTCAATAGATAATGATGGTTGATACTTATGTTTAGATGTTTGAAATAATATTTTAGCTTTGTAAATAGTGCTCTCATTATTTTTTTTTCAGACTTTAGATTTAAGAAATATGTCCCAAGAGGTAGGTGGAGCATATCCATGGCTGGGCTTACTTGCCCCAGAAGTAGAGATACTATAGCTGCCTTACTCAGCTAGATTCCCTGGAATCCTAGGGTTCTACAAAAGGTCACTTGGGGATCCATGAAACACTGTAAAAATAACATGTTTTCACATTCCAATATGTGTATGTTTATTATACAAACATGAGTTAGGTGATCATTTTGATAATCTTACTTGAATAAGGTTTAAATTAATTGAAAACAAGTGTGCCAAAATTGAAATTGCTATTGTTTTTATGCAGGGGTTCCCTGAGACATGGAAATTTCAAGGGTTCCTCCTAGGTTAAAAGGTTGAGAATGTCTGTACTACAGAGATGTTCTAAATGCACATTTAATGAACCATATTGAAGTATGTGTTTTCAATAAAGCTGATAGACTTAATATACAACAGCCCTTTTAGGCATACTATAACTTATCAGAAACATGTTGTGATATCTATTTTGTGAAATGCCTCAGATGTGAAATAACATATGGTTGCATTAACATACTTCAAAAGCTGCTCTGAAGTCATGAACAAGTCCGGCTGGTTTTGATGCTGAGCCAGTTGATATGTAATTGCAGCCAGTCAGTTCGAAAAAGGGCTGTCAGGGAGAGAGTAGGGCTGCTGCCTGTAACATACCTGCCACTTCTTTTAGTCAGCAACCTATGATTAGCTCCTTTGTAGTTGAGTGGCGCATTTGAAACTAGACTAATGGGTTATTTAAGGTCTAAATAACCGAGGGATTAACCAAAAAGAAATCATAAGTTAACCACTAGGTTATTTTAGGTTTGTCTTTGTCCCATTATGTTCCTATTTGTCAGATATGTGCAGGTTAAGGTTGTAAGATGCCCCTTATGGTGCTGTTTAATTCAAGTTAATGAGAAACTTAATCTGAAGAGCTGTTGCCTACTACTGATTTTCAAGCAGAATACTTTTCAGCAGATAAAGCCTGAAAAGGATAGAAGTCAAGAGGAAGAACAGATAACATGCACAGCTTATTATACTGTACACTATTAAACTGCACAGTATAATAAGGTAATACCAGGGTGGGAATATTATCAGATAAGAGTGTACTTGTTAAACAAGTTTTCCAAGAACGGAGGCTTGGTAGTGACAATCTGTGATTAAGAGACTTAAGAGCATATTATTTGTCATTCTCCCAAACTTTCCCTCTACCTAATGAACCTGTGTTACACTGATCTAGCTTTTTGGATTACAAGTTGGCTCTCAAATATCTAGAAGTTTCCTCTGAAAGTATGTTAAATTACTGCATTTTTCTAATGCAAAATTAGTGAATGCTTAAGAAAAAGATGGCAGTGCAGGCTGATGAAATTGTGTGTGTGTGTGTGTGTTTTTATTTAAACGTTATTTTAATTGTTAACAATATTTATCTGGCCAAGGCGACTTCTTTTATAACTTCTTTTATATTGTTTATATTTTTTATTTATTTTATATTATTAATTTTAATTTTATATTGTTATTTTTATATTGTATTTTATTGTGTTGTAAGCCGCCCCGAGGCTTCGGCAAGGGGCGGCATAGAAATGTTCTGATGATGATGATGATGATGATGTATGTATGTATGTATTGAGGTGACATCACAGCCATTTCTTTTGTTGCAAACAGGCAACATGAGAACTGCACTACACACCTGCCTTTGGAAGTACTGTATGCCTTCCTTAGTCCTTACTGATAAACACTGGAAATTAAGTTCAGTTACACCTTTTCAAAAAGGCGTAACTTGAAAGTGCCCCAAGTTTTAGTACTACTACAGCTACTTACAGCAGTAGGCCTGTGTGCTTTGTGGTCCAGCTACATTCATTTCCCCAGGGAATACAGCATAGTTCCACAATCATCTGCTACATTTTTTGGCAATTGCTTGAACAGTTTGTTCTTCCTTCAGAGCCTGAACTGTTACCATTTGTGCTTCTTTGGAATTACTCTTTTCTAGCATAAGTTTTATGGAGCATATGACCTTTGATCATACAAAGCCAACAGTAGGATACTTCCATACTGTGTTTGACGGGACTACTGGAATAAATATAATAAAGTTGGTTTAGAAAATAAATTATTTAAAATTTGTACTGCTCTTTGATTTTTTCTAATATCTTTGAAATCGCCCAAGAAGGCTTGGTGGACATGCATCTGTCCAGTGTGCATTAGAAGAATTAGACACCAAGCAGAATCTTAATGTTCTTAAAGTAAAAAGTGACACAATAGTGCCCTGGTGAATCGTAAGAACACATCAATAGTATTCATTGTCATACTTCTGTAATACTAAATATTTGTGGTATGTGGTGCCATAGCCATTTTCATCATATTTAAAGATAGGGGGTTTTTTTTAAGGCTTTTAAGAACACCTATTTTCTGTGATCCATCTGTGGTACTTCATTGTCTGGAAAGGGTTACCTAGCAATGCATAAACAGGATAAAATGTATTTGTAATTCCTGCTTGCATCCTTAATTGGAATAGGAAAGGAAGTACCCTGCCTTTTATATTCCAATCAGGGAACTCTTGAATGTATTGAGCCTAGTTTCCAGTGTTACCTAGCAATCTATTCAATGCATGCACCTCTTGAATCCCAGCAATAATGTGTGATGTTTCATTGCCTGTATTTTTGCTTGTAAATTTCAAAAAATCCCTAAGAGATCAACCTGCCTTCTAATTTAATTGAATGCAATTTTCTAATTCATCTGTCGTACTGAGAGGCAGTGTGGTGTGGCGGTTAGAGTGCTGGATGGAGATCTGGGAAAACTTGGCTCTAGTCCCCAATCAGCCATGTAGCTCAATGGGTGACTTTAGGCTAGCCAATGACTCAGTCTAACCTACCTCACAGGGTTGTTGTGCACATAAAAAAGTATAGAGGAGGACTGTGTAAGTCACCTTGGGTTCCTTGCAAAATGAAAAAAATAGGAATATAAATGCAATGTAATAATTCAGCTAACACATTCTATCCACTTTTGAACTGGAGCTTAAGAATACTAAGTGAGGACTTTATTAATACCACAACATAGTCGATGGAGTCAATGGTCGTTTAAGATGATGAGTTATCCTTTCCTGTATGTACCTTCAATTCTTCTTTCTAGTTATTAGCCTAGCCTTGAGTGTTTTCTCTTAAGACTAAAAGTGTCTTAGATTTCTAACTCGGTGAGATTTCCTATGGGAGTTAGAAGCATCACTAATGCAGTGGTCTCTGGTATCTCAACCGATTTTACCCACCCATCCCATTCCCTTCCCTGCAACAGACTTTTGTCTCATATGCTCAGTAAAATTCAGGAGAGAATTCAT